AGTTCCCAGTTCAAAGGTTAAGCCTTCCTATTTTGTCACGCAATGCTATTTAGACTATATAGAAGGGTTGGTGGACATTGTAGGCTGAACCTTTTTATACGCCCACATAGAAATGGGATGAGATCTCGGTCAACTTCGAATTTGGTAATAATCGGAGTTATTTCCCTCAACTTAGTAAAAACGCCTCAAATTTGGCTTGTAGACACAATAAAGGGGCTACAGTTTTTATCCGATCTTGATGAAACTTGATATACATTATTAAGTGAAGAGATCTCGTTCAAGTTTGAATTAAGTAACAAAACAGTTTCAAATTTGGCTTGTAGACACAATGTACGTTCCAATTTTTTATCTCTCTTGATGAAACTTGGTATTGTATATATATATATATATATATATATATATTGATCTTTGACAAGTTCAAATTTTAAAATACACTAGAAGCAACAATTATACGATCTTTTTGAAACCTGGTACTATGTCTCGACCATATCTTTCAAGTCACTAAAGACTTTGTTATCATTTCTGACAGCTGGTAGTGGGCGTTTGTAAAATGTTAGATTGTCTGGCAAGCCATCTTTTCTATCCTTACCAATGATACTATGGTGACACTATGGTGGAAATGATATCGACATAAGCACAATAGTTGAGAAGTGGATACTATTACTCTACAATATTTATTTGGCTACTCTGTAGAACTACACAAGCAGCATACAATATAAAAACACGATTTCTAACCATTTAACATAACCTTATGAAACTTGGGTGAGAAAATGCAGTACGTACCGTATGCCTTATTGTATAAATGCAATTAAAGTTTAAATTCTCATTGTAGTAATTAATCTATTGGAACGGATGTAATAACTGTCCAATCTTCTGTTAAATGATTTCTGGAATGTTGAAATCATATTTTCTGTCTGAGTAAAGGGAGTTAACTCTTTTTTTCCATACAATCTTAGAACACAGTTAAATTGTAAACCTGTTCAAGAAAATATATGACTTGGGAACTATATACCTTGGTTAGTATAATATTATTATACAAGTGTGGTTGAAATGACAACTTATGCAGTTTCTAAAATTAAAAAAAATTCATTAAGCAGCTTTTGTTAAGAGTTATTTCTCCCTTTAAACGTTACATAATGATAAATAATAATCAGAATAATAATATTGTTTAATTCTGTGTGACGAATCAACATACAAACATCAAATTGTGCATACAATAAGAACTAAGTCTAAAGTAGCATTTCAGCACAATAAAAGCCACAGTTTTAACTGATGTTGATAACTTATTGTGTCTGTCTCGATGGATAGAATCACAGACGAATTTAATTTTGTCCAACAGTTTGGAGTTATTGCCCTTGTTGGTCTGAAAAGTCGTCGATGTCAGTATTTGGCGTTTTTTCATCCACTATTGTTGAAACCGAACCTGATTTAATCAATTTAGTCGGAATTTAAAGATTATACTTAATTTATTTTGAAAAAATATCCTAATTATACATTTATATGTAGCCTATTTAAAGGGATTGTAAAGAAGTTTTCTCTACTTTTCATGTGATAATTATGTGTATATATTTGCATTTAAGGTTATTACATAGACGAATGATGACACTATGCGGGTTGATCCAAACTAATGGACAGTTTTGTCATGTGGCTCATTTTAACTGAAACTTATCTGATTCAACCTAATTGACATTTGATTTATGTCCGTTCCCTGTTGGTTCAACTTGACTGCGACTTCCCAGTTGACAGTTTTGTCATGTTGGGTTCATTAGCTTATTCTGCCCAGTGAACAGTTGTTTCATGTCTTATCTCTGATGTTTCATTTTACCTGAGATTTACCTGATTCATTCTAGTTTCATGTCTTATCCCTGGTGATCAGATTTACCTGATTCACCCAGGATGACAGCTCTATGTCTGTTCCTTTGTGATTCATTTAAACTTCGACTAACTTAATTCATCTTAGTTGTTCATGTCTGTTCCCTGGTAGTTCAGTACCTCTCCTCGATCGATCAGGGCAGCCGTTGGGTCGTGACGACCGTCTAGACCCTGATAAGCAAAACCACAATCACTCTGATTCCTAAGTTCTTGGCAAAACTGTCTCACTCACTTACTGCTTGTATATATGTATGTGATGTATTATTTGTAATTCATGAATAAATATTGTTTAAAAACTATGCGGGTTGTTAGTCGTCTTTCTCAGAACATAGTGGGATAGTTCTACTTTAATCTGGGTGGCCACAAATTTTCCTTTCAAAAACTAACCATTTAACAATTATAGAATTTGAGAGATAAAGATAATTTTAACATTCCGCTAGTAAAATATTGATATAGTTATAAAAACAGTTTTATATGGGAATATTGGGTGTTGTAATAACAGTCAGATTTTAAATGTTTCGCTTTGTTGTAACGTTTGTCGGCTTCGCCTGAGCTTTTGTAACTCTGCAAAACAGAGTGTAGTAATTTGATCATAATTATTAACATTTTATCAAATGATTTGTAGAATAAGGTAGCCTAATAGTCAATCGGGTTTTGAATTTATATTTGAAACAAAAAACTGACATCATAGACTTTTTAAAATGGGAATAAGTCTTAGTGTCAGAGTAAGACGAGAATAGTATTCTCAAAAATTCACTGGCCTTCAGTGATATGAAATCATCAAATGATATTCATACAATGCCAATATCTTGCATTCGAACAGTAAGCACTTTCTGTTCATTGCTCTGCAATCCAAAACACATTTCGATATAAGTCGGAAATGAAGAGATGAGGGGAAGAGATAGTTCGAACACTGCAGGAAGTAAGTCCATTCACAGCAGGACAAAAAGGTGGTAAAAAGGACAGCTTTTTGATCATTGGCGTAAAAGATTAAGTTAAGAAGGCCTTAATTAACACGGCTTATCTTAATCGCATGTTAAAACCTAAGTGCGCAACTGTAAAAAGGAGATTTGCCTTTTTTTGATTTCAGTGAGTCACGGTTCACCAGATCTCTGCTGGAGGGTCACAAAAGATTAGTTCCCCATTCTCTTGTTAACAGAAAAATACAATAGTGGAGAAGAAAGGCAAATAAAAAGTTGCAACTCGTCCATGATTTCCCTTTGTTACTGTTTTTCAGATGAGTTATATGTTTTTCTCGCATTAAGTTTCCATTTTCCCTTCCTTTTTGACCATGTTTTTACTTGTCGTTTATTTCGCAGGACAATTTTGTGGTTAGTTTTCTAATTGCTTGCTAATTTATCAGCACAATTCAAAAACCCTCCTGCATCCTTTAGGCTTAATAATCAAAAAGATATTATTTGGTTTCTTTAGAACGACATTTTTGGAATTCTATAACAGAACACTCCAGTGCATTCGAGAGACATTGCAGTTTCTGCACATTGCCCGCCTTTGAGGCATTCCTGCAGATTGATATGCAAAAAGCGATTGTATAAGAGTCTTGACAAAATACAGGCGTATTTAGACTACTTAAGTAGTTATTTGTCACCGAAATTTTATATATTTTCTATCTATGGAAGGAGAAACCATTATTTATTATAGTATTATCCTTGCAATTTGAAATAAGAGATTGAATTTTAGTAGACGAGGGTTGAAAGTTCGCACACGACAAGATATGAAATTCGAGGCTGAATTGAGGCCGTCCTGTGCCCCGCTCGCTTGTTGGTGTCCCTACACGCGTGGCTGGTTTACCGTTGGACCAATCAAAATGTCGAGGTAACCGGGCATTATCAACGATATGGCCCACTTTTCTTCACTCATCATCTTACAATACTCTTAGCTTGGATGTTTACATTAAGTATACAAACTTACAACTTGACAAAGGGATTTAATGTCTTATGATAACATTATGGATATATAAACCGCGGTTTTAGTTGGGAACTGTTTAAACGACATTTTACCTGTGAGAAGCCAGATATAATATACTGAACCGAAGGAATAGGGGTCAATATAGTCCTCAGTGCGTTTAGTGTATTCTAAGCGTGTACATTAATGACAGGTAAGAGAATTAAAAAAAATTCTGAATACATTTGACTGTAGACAAAGTATACATGTACTTTATTTTAGATAATTTTACCGTTTCGAATCCTTCGCCTGATTACTCTATCGAAGAAATATCAAGTAATTTGTCACCTTTATTGTATATAATATGAAACCGTGATATATTACCTGTACCGGTATTCAATACAGGTGAAATGATACAGGTGTAACACTATTGTATAATACCTGTTTAACAAAATTTCACCTGTGACACTATTATAGCTCATGTCATAACTGTGAATATTTCCCTTCCATTTTTCATCGTTTCGTTTCTTGGTATGAATGTACAGGACCTGCCACAAGTAGTTAGTACTTACATACATGAAAAAGTGCAGTCTATATGTTTTATAAAGATCTCTTTCGCAGATAACGACTGTCAAAGTGTTCCCTTTCAGCTCTTCTACTCAATTATAAACAGTTTAATTGCAATAACTTGGACAAGAATTGACATTTCTAGTGGCTGGGCATACCACCAGATTGTCAATGGTAGGTGGCAGGCCTATGTATATCTAGGATAAAATGATTTCTTTATTATGTAAATGTCAAAAGTTGCAAATCGGATATACAAATCGGAGTATGCCTTCGTCGAATACCCATTCGTCATAAAAAATTGCCATAAAGATACCCAGTTATGCTATTGATAACTTTAGATGTTCACACCTTAAATTCCACGTCCATTGAACCGTTGTAGAAAAAAGTATTATTATCCGTAAATACAAATAAATGCAATAAACGAATTCTGATATCACATGATATAGATTTCCGGAAGATGGACATTCAACTCTATTGCTACAAACAATTACTGTTTTAGTTGATAGTAATGAAATAATTAAAGTGTCCAAATATTTGTGAATTCAGTATACTTGTGAAAAATAAACCAACACCGAAGTATGAATACATATAATAACTCTATTTTCAGGTTCATCAGAAAGAGATCTGATAGTCATTGCTGTTAGGTTGGAGCTCTAGAAATGGATTTCCTTCAAGCTACATGGTTGCTGGTTGTTATGGTTATATTTCATATCTATATTATAACAGCGGATCAGATCTGTAACCAATGTGATTGTACTATCAGGTAAGAATTTATTTGAAGAATTTATTTCGCTTTCACGTAAAATAATGTTATATAAACAGTTTAGGCACAGGCATAGTGTGCTTTTAGTTCTGTAATCCTGTCAACTGCGCATTGGCTAGAATTGAATCAGTGGACATGCTCATAAATTTATTGAATTCCATAATATATAGAAGCGTGAAATCGAAAGGGTGAACCCTGTCCATTCCATTTCGAATCATAATCCATTGTTTTATCCTGTTATATGATGAACGATAGAGAGACATGATGGATTTCTGAAAATTACTTAGCTTATACATCACGGCACAAATTTAGATCATATTTGAGCTTCATAAACTATCGAATTCAGAGTTTGAAAGTAGTTGAATCACGCCCGAGTGTTTTTAATTGTACATTATAATTCATAGAATTCTATTTGACGTGAAATGATCTGTAGAGAATTCCACCATGATGCCATTCTAATCATTTCAACATTAAACAATAACTCAGAACGTGATTTGATTCAGCTTTCTAAATATTACAAATATTGTGTATGTCTCATCTCTACCAATCTGGTCAACAGGTGCACGTTTATTTTCATTTCATAATTTTTAAGAGAAAAACAAAATCTTAAATCAAGATGAAAGTTAAATCTAAACAAGTTGTCTTTATATCAGGAGAGCGGGTGTCAGACTGACCCTAAACTAACCCCCATACCCTACTGAGAGGGGTTTATATTCTGGGCTCCTACAGCTTATTAGTAAAATGTTCTGCACGTGTTGAAAGCCTTTCATAATGCCCTCATTATTTTCCTATAGAATGGGGCTACTCAGTTCAGTTAACCATGGAATTTCCTATAAATTTTGAGTAGTTGAATGATTTTGATAAATTTTAGACACAAATTAGGCTATACATTTATTTGGATTGTAAGTTGCATTATTACATCTGAATACGATCTTACATTTGTGTGAGGTGATGTTGAGAACATAAGTCTCATAAAAGATTGTGTTATTGGTGTGCAGTACCTATTCCAGCCGGAAGATATATAAATGCCTAGGTAATATTGGCTTTCTGGTATTAAAATAACATTAAGAGGAATGTAAAATAAACATCTCAGTATGACGTAGCTAGCACACATCCTGTTAATTTATGACGTAGGGTATCATTATGACGTAATGTTATTTCTTGGTTTTAGTATAATTATGGTCTAACCAATGAAATCAAGCTGTGAAATTCAAGCTGTCATGATGATTTTATTAGATTTCTAGATATATTTTGATATAAAAATTAAGTAATTAGTATAATAATCATCAGATGTCACTTTTAATTACTCGAATAAAAAAACAATTATTACAGTTTCATAACATAAAACAGGAAACTGTAGAATAAAAAAAAAGGCGGGAAACTTTTAGCATAAATGCAGAACGAAGACCTACGGCTACAATTCCCCTTGTATGACACCTTTGCATTTTTTTCACACACTTTAAATACTTAAAGAGTCTCACGTTCTGTCTTTCCCCATTTCTAGTCACCTAGTGGCTAGTGGTGATGATATGCACTGATCTCGAGGGATTAAACGGATATTCGTGTCAACCTCAACTGAATTAAACCTTTCTACCCCAATTAGTAATTTAACCGTCTGATTAACCCCTGTGCTGTCAGGATACAATTCAAATCACGTAACGTTATCATAGTTGTCATCTTAATTGCGTCATGATCTGTATATTATTGTTATTATATCATTTTACGTATCTAATTCTACACGTACTGATGAGGATAATAATTGGTTGAAAAGGGAAATCTGATATGCTGTAATACTGATGTCATGTTAAATAATGTCGTCATACATGTAAATTAGGAATGATCAGTGCGCGATTAGCACGTTAATTAGACCTCGCTCAAGGCACATCTCTTTGGATATGTCGATTCCGTTTATCATGCAAATGCTCGTCGATTTTTTTATATGTATACATTAAGCATTACTGGTGAGACTGACACAGATAAATAATATGATATTGATATTACAAATTCGTCAACATGTTACGTTTTTAAAAATATTAAGACGGGAAAAGTCAGACCAGATGATTTATGAATCAAATCGTTTCCATTTTCAGAGACAGCACCGGAAAAGGAAATATAAATGTTAAACCGAAATGTCAAAGTGGTAAAATCACATGGCCTGATCCCGTTAGTGCCGTCCGTTTAGAACTGAAACCGGAAGTGGTGGGTCCATTCAAGGCTTGTATTGCTCTAAAGAGCGAAAATATTGTGACATTGGTTTCCAGAGAGATTACCACAGAAACAGTGAACTATAGAACTAGGTCATATGATTCAAAAGTAGATCTACTGCCATGGTTTAGTGTCGAAGGTCAAGGTAAAGAACATTGTGTCACGTCATCTGAATCATCTGTAATGTTATACCTTGAGATCGAGTCTACAACTGAAGATTCTGGATTATCCAGAACTTTTATATATTATGATATTGAATTGATACCAGACAACAAGTTCAGTCCCGATCCCATGGAAGGTAGGTTAAGCAAAATATCATATATAGTTCATGACAACGCTTCACATGTACATATTTAGACACATTTATACCAGTCGAAGCATGTGTCCACACGCATCTATTTTATATACCTAGAATTTCTTTCAAATTCCTAATTATTTGTGCACAAGCACATCTGAGAATTTCCTCTGAGAAATTCACTTGAGAAGAAGAGCACCTGTTAGTTTTATGATAATGCAGTATTTGTTTTACCCATGTAGCCATTAAGTTTAGTATACAGATTTTCCTCTAGCCCATTATCTATTGTAATCTTGAAACAAGTCACGTCTGAACAATCGATATCTCGATACTAAACTGACTAATACTGGTAACTGATACAGTTTAATGTAAATTAAAACCGTTTAATGTAGATATCACAATTATCAACAATATCCTTGTTCTCACGGATTTTTTTTTATGAAATTCATATTCATATGGAGTGTTGATACTTTAATCTATAAAAAAAAATTCAAAGATACTTATATCGTTTGTTTTGATAGCCATAACCTTTCGTTAGTGACAATTTGGACCTAAAAAGAAAAGATATCTCGGCTCGGGTCGGATCATACAAGAACGTCGCTAAGTGCTATACATGTATTCGATTTTTAAATACACAATAACAGTTGGTGTAGGAGTTTGTTATTCAAAATAATCTAATCTTGTCTCTTTTTAACTTATACACACTACTGATACTGATGGGATGGGTGCCTTTACTATTGGGTCATATTTAAAACTAAGATGGTTGACTGAGTCATTTCATTCGCCTTTCCAAGGTTAACATATACAGAAAACATAAGATTTCATAACATGGATGACATATTTTCGATCATATTTATTTCTATATAGTTGCTGACCCATTTTATTCGAGAAAAAGTAAAGTTTAATTATAAGGCTTTAACTAATTGGTAATTTTACTATTATAAATTTCGGAACAACAGAAAATAGTTATGTATAATTCATTAATTATACTCGAGACTGTAAAAGGAGAAAATGGATATCCGTTTGAATTGCAAAATCAACAATGCATTGACCATGGGTCAAGTTGTTCTTTAGATATGACCAAGTCACCGGGTCATTTACAGTAGTATTTATAGATTTCTATCTTCTTATTGGTGAATAATACTGTAGCAAGCATGGGTTTGTCTGTCGTTGATTTGAAGCTACTTATTGGTATTACAACACACTTTCAGAGAGCTCATTCAATAACTCAATTTATTGGAATGGATTAATTTGATTCGTCACATTCGACAGAGCTCTCTAGAAAATACACCAGCAAAAGTTGTAATGTAATTTTTCTGTATCTAGATGAAAACAATATTTCCTATATTTTTGAAAGGATATATAATCAGGGCTTAATACATGAACCCTTGCGTCAACTTTCTAATTAAATATTCAGCCTGTAATCCTATTGTCCATATTAATAACGGTCAAATAATACCTTCACTTGACCACAGACACTTGAAGATGCACATTGACTAACCTCCTCTTAACCTTGACAGAGTTACCGCCCTTGTGTCAATTTACAGGTGTTAGACAATAGCAACTCCTAGTTGGAAATCACCTCCCATTTTTCCACTTTCTTTACTCAATTCAAGTCTGGCTTGATTGCGTCTTTTGTGATCTAGGATTTTGATAATTGAAAACATTTTAATTGTGATGCAGGGTATTGTAGTTACCCCTGCTTTTAGAAAGTTGAATGATTTTCGTAACTTAGTAAATGGGCTGTTTTGATTTTGTGGCGCTCTCGGATTTTGGACAAATTTTTTGAGTGCTTATTTTAGGTTGGTCAATCTGATTGTTTTCTCGTTGTTTAATGTATTTTATTTTTAATTCCAGAATGTCAACCCTGTTCAGACGATGAAATATTAAGATCTTACTGTATCAGCGACTATGGTAAGGCATATTTCTATCCTATATTCTAAAATTGCAATATAGCAATGAGTCTATAAATCACTCTACAATAATCTTTCTTGTTCTTATCACCTCCCATATCAAAGCCCGAACAAAGCTAAATCCTCGTTCAAAAGCGAAGACTGGTTTGAAAGAGACTTAAATTTAATGGACCCAAGTATTGAAATAAAAGCAAACAACTTAACACAGTTTTTTTCGGAATAAGTGTCAAATTATCGAATGTTATCTAATATTAAGTTTAAAATCTAGAGTAAAATAATAAAAACTGTAAACAATTCGTTTATTAACGACTATTTAATTGTCAATAAATCTGCCATGGATGTATGTGTATCTGTCTCCCTAAAATTATACCCAGACACCTTTAATCCACAATATCAACAAAACTCCCCCCCCCCCCCCCCCAACAACAAATAGCCCTTAGTCACAAGCTTGTCTCAAATAACAGAAGTCTGATTCTGTACTTTCTTCCAATAACAGGCGTGCTTCAGGCTATAGATAGTGGACAGGGAAAGGCGAGACATAAGGCGTCAAACTTGACATCGACTTTTCAAATGTTGATAGTATTACCAAATACCCTACTCATGAAATCTGATCAATTTAGTGTGATAAGCAAATTTCTTATTGCTACTTATGATGTGGTCAATATAGAATTTAGATTCGTTTTAGATGCACAAAGTATTAGGCCTAAATTTCAGTAATGCAGTAAACAATTTCCTAGACCAATTTTGCAGTCATTTACAAATTAATACCATAGCTATTAGATAGCAGTAACATCATGATAATGTTTTGGTGAATGCGTGTACATGTCTGTATATCTGTCATTGTGATTTATAACAGTATTATATGCAGTTAATTTACACGTGGATGTGTGAAGAAATTTGTTCAACATGACTATAAAAGGTAATAAAACTACCACCGTGACAGAAGTAAACAATGTATTTGAAACTAAGTCGGCTTCAATAAAAGATAGGTGAAGTTGTTAAAGGCGGTTTCATCAAAGAGAGTAGGAGATAAGGGGCGATAATTTAGAGATAACATTTAAGTAGGGTGACAAATTTGATTTACTTCAAACCATTAAAATGTTCAGGCGTTCAAAAATAAAACCACATTGATGTTCATTTTGTAGCAAAAGTTAAACTAAGAAAAGAGGTTTATGCAATCTCATTTATCGATCGATCAGTTTTTTCAATGTTATTAACATATTGCGCATTTTGTCTTTTTCAGTTGTAGTTGGAAGAATGAAAGAGGTGAACTTCCAATCTGAACTTGACAAAACGAAAGTGAACATAATCGTAGACCAGATCGTCAAGACTACAGATGAAGACATATTTAAAAGACATGACAATCTTCTTGAGGGTGCATTGTTCACTTCGGTACATTGTGGTGTTCAGAAAGGACCTGGACAATTTTTATTTACTGGAAGAAACAGACTCGGTCAACCAATTCTGACATGTGCGCCGTTCTATGACCAATGGATACAAATTCAAAGACTAGCTCAAGAAAAGGGAACAATCGAATGCGCCTATGGTTGAAAGTATTTGGTGTAAAGACGTAGGCTACTTTAGAATACTAAATGCCAAGAACGTAATCATCACACTTTCTAACTTCTAACTTTGGTTCCGGTAAATGTCGTTTAGAAGATTGAATCAAGCTTGAAATAACGCACATTTCTCATGTGGAAAAGAAGTGATAAGCTTACCGAAGAAGCCGAAAATGGATTATGATTACATTATGTTACTGCAATGAATAACTCAGTTCCGTTAGCAAACGAGTAACCATTTATATTGTTCATGACAGTTATAGTTATAGGCAAAAACATTTTAATATAATTTCATACCGTTTTATTCCTGGAGAAATTGATTGAGCGTATTCGTATAATTTCATGTTCCCCTTTTATCTCATATCATTTTGAATGAGACAAACTTCTACCTGTGTAAATGATAGATTTCTGTAACTATTGTGCCATGTTTTCCTGTAAATGTATGGTATCTTGCAGAAAATGATCTCGCACATAAATCAAACGTGGATGTCTCAATTTCTATGATCAGATTATAATACAGATCTTATAAATGACAACCAAACTTGTATAGTACCATTACCAGTACCACTTTAACGTGAACGTTACTGTTTACTTCAGAAAAACGATTAAAAAATTGTTTTAATACAAGTAGCATATTTCTGTATTTTAATTTGATTACATATCATAATATAGTGCATAACACTGTTATTTTTTGTTATTATTTTATTTATTATAGAAAGTTTATTTTTGTTATTAATTTGATGTATTATACGTTGTTCGTTGATTAAAGTTATCTAATCGTATCGTCTCCGTTTGATCTCCACAACGCCACCATTCTGTTCATGAGAGGACATAAGCTCTTGTCTTTTGGACCGTTGATTCGAAGGATTACATATTCTTACCACGTAAGTCAATTGATCACCTAACTTTATCTAAAATTGCCTCACAACCTTAGAGTCATACGATCCACCCTTGCCACCCTAGGATAAAAGATCACACTTCCTTACCACACTACAGGTATAAGATCACCCTTACCACTCTAGTCACAAGACCGCGTACGTGCGTAAGATAAATGGTCTTATGAATCTAGGGTTTTAGGCATATGTGATCCAATGGCTTTAGGGTTTTAAAGATATGTGACTGTATGTCCATTTGTTGGTAAGGTTAAGACATTATGTGACCCTTTAACCTAGGGTGGTCAGATACCTTTAAAATCTTTAAGTTAAAGGGTCACATTGCATAATAACAATAGAGTCATTAGATATTCCCTTACCACCTTAGAAATGTGGTATGATGGTTCTTGTGTGTATGAATATGTGATCTTATGTCTCTAGGATGGTAAGGGGATATGATCTTTTGACGTAAAAAAAAAAAGGGGGGGGGGGGGGGTAAGGGTGAATGTACATATACAATCTTAATTGCAACTTCACATTTTGAACGGCATCCTGTCAAAACATAGGATCTCATACCCTTACAACCCTAGATGAACTAATAGAGCACAAAAAAATCCAAACACTTATCCTTACCAGCATAGAGACAAAATATCACAAACTCACAAACTCACATTAGACTATAGCCCCTAGCACCCTAGGTCTAATGGTTATATTCCCTTGCCAACCTAGAGACATAAGGTCACATTACCGTAGAATCCTAAGACCTCTCCCTCTGTCACATACATTAGACAACATACCCTTACCACAAAAGGTCAAAAAAGCCACAATCCTTTACCTTTTATACTCTTCAAACCCCATACCCTTAGCACTTTAGAGTCTTCAAACCACATACCTCATACTATGTTTTAACCTTTGACATTAGGTTACAATATTTTTAACCTTTGGCCTTACGTTTGAAATGTTATAACCCCCAAAGTTAAAAAATGTTTTACGTTTGATTAAACAAATGTCGCTAGGGTGGTAAGCGTAATTTTATACGATCCTGTATCGTTCTGGAGATAAGATTTTGTGATGCTTTACCTCACTGTTATGGCCGACGTTTTTTTTTATAGCGAAAGGCCTTGGCTTGAGCATGATATCACCAACTACAATCAATCCTTTTTGTCTCTTTTTGGGCATAAAAATTATTATAGTAACGTTGGTTCAAACATAACATTACATAACATAACTGGTTAAGCTTTTCGTAACATTAGGTCAAATGTTAAGCTTTTCGTAACATTAGGTCAAAGGTTAAGCTTTTCGTAACATTAGGTCAAAGGTTAAGCGTTTCGTAACGATAAAATTAAACTTATCAAGTTGAGTCAAAGTATTATTGTATAAGTAGATATGATGATGATGATTGTAAAAAAATATGATTAAATACCAGAAATTATCCACCGGATACTTTCCAGTATTATGTATTCATAATGTTGTTGAAACACACGACAAGTATAACTTGTTTATGGATACCACCAATTTCAACTACCATTATTGAGTCAATAGATCACAAACGTACCACCCTAGGGTCATAAGATCACTAGCCCTTACCACCCAAGGCTAGTGAGATCACAAGCTCTTACCACTCTAGGGTCATAAGATCATTAGCCCTTACCACCTAGGCTAGTGAGATCACAAGCGTTTGTGTCCTTATGACCCTAGGGTGGTAAGGGTATGTGGTCTCGGGAACCTAGGGTTGTAAGGTATGTGATACTATGATCTCACGACCCTGGGTTGGTAAGGGCCTGTGATCTCCTTGCACTAGGTGGTAGGTTATGCTATCTCACAACCCTAGGGTAGTAAAGGTGTGAGATTTATCACCCTAGGGTGGTAAGGGTATGAGATCTGATGATCCTGGGATGGTAAGGGTATGTGATCTCATGACAATGGGGTGGTAAGGGTTTGTCACATTTGAATCGTCGAATGGTAATCGACCAACAAACATGGCATATAAAAGGACTCCCATGCTCCAGACATCTGACTGGAATGGGCTGTACTTCTTTCCCTGTAAGACTTCAGGAGCAGTGTAAGCTACACTACCACAGAATGTTTGGCTGAAAAGATCACTGGTTGTCATTTGTCGGCTGAATCCAAAATCAGCTAACTTGACCTGACTCGTCTGGGTCAAGAGGATATTTTCTAGCTTCAAATCTCGGTGAGCGATTCCTTGTTGATGACAGTGGGAAACTGCAGCAACAATTTGTCTGAAGATTTTCTTGGACTTCTCGGAATTTAGGGAACCGTGAAGACCAACAACTCGGTTTTAAGTTTTTCATATTGAGGCAGCTTAACTGCTCTAGATGTAACTACAGAATAAGGAACTGCATCTGGACGTAATCTAATAGTGTACTGTCCCTCTAGTTTCCCTAAACCAGTAAACAATTTTGGATATTTGTCAACAAAAGGTGATTTTGTGCCTACATCAATTTTATCTAATTTAAAACTAGAGTTATCACAACTGCTACTAATATTATTATCAGTGCGTTCTAAAAGATGTAAATCTAATATGGCAGGTATACCTAAAAGAGCTGTAGATAAATTTTTAATAACAAAAATATCGTGCTTACTACACTTATTACCTGTGCTTATATTAGCAGAAAACATACCTATAACAAATAATACCTCTTTACTAGGGCCATATAATACTTTGTTAGGCTTACTTAACTTAATCTTAGGATTTAATGATCTTATTCTATCATAAGCTTTTTCAGGAATAGATGTGACCTCTGCCCCTGAGTCTATCTTAAAATCTACATGAGCTTTATCTACATATGCATCAACCTTAAACAAATCTTTTGCATAAGACATATTATTAATATCTCCTGAAACAGTGCCTAGAAATATAAGTTCTGGATTAGTATCATTTCTAGCATTTACAGAAAAAACACGTTTGCTTTGGCAAAGTCTTTCAAAATGTCCTATTTTCTGACACTTCCTGCACTTCGCAGATGCTGCTGGACACTCATCTCGGCTATGCTTGGATCTTCCACATCTGTAACACTTATCATTCTGTGATGTCTTGTGTTGTGGATTTCCTGGTTTCTTGTAGTCTTTTGACTTCGTTGACTTTTGACTGTGAAATTTCTGTTTTGACATAACATTCACGTTTGCATTTACCGTATCTTCTCGTAAGACTTTATTCTGAGAAATAACAGTTTCTGTCTGCTTTGCTGCTTCGATTGCTTTCTTCAGGGTTAAGGTGGAATCTAGTTGTAACCTTCTAGATAACTTCTCATCCTTAATACCCACTACAATACGATCACGTATTAATTGATCTCTAAGTGTACCATAGTCACAGTATTCAGAAAGAGGATAGAGTGCTGTTATGAAACTATCTACCGATTCTCCTTCCTTCTGCACTCTAGAGTTGAATTGAGCACGTTCAAATATGACGTTTCTTCGGACTATGAAAAAATCATTGAACTTTTGTCTGACCTCTGTGTACGTAATATTAACATCTGTGTCGACATTAAAACTTCGATAAATATCTTCA